GGTCAATCTCTTCGAGTCAGGGACAGTCCTTTCCGTTGTTGTTTTTAATGCAAGAAGTTCTGCCACCCTAAGTTTTGTACCTTTCACGAACAGATGGGTCGGTTTCTATAGGCACACAACTTGCAGGGCGTCTCCTTGAAGAATAAAGATGTTAAAATCAGAATCCCAAGTTACTGTAATCCCCCGGACATAGCACCCGCCCTAGTCAACATACCCCAGGGTGTTAGAGGTGGGTAGGGGTGTTTATATAAAACACGCACCCATATGATTTTTAAAAATTCGAAATGTTCGAAATACCTCCCGATGAAATTAAATTTCCAAACAAAATGTAACATTGAAGGGAGTTAAAAAATATGAGGTTGTGTTCCAAAACGCATAAAATGGCCACGTAATATGGTAAACAAATGCTGGGCATGCTAAGTGGGTTTTGGCAAGATTGTGCTCGAAGAACAATGATTGGCCAAATTTTTAACACTTGCCTGACGAAGTTGCACTGCCGCAGTAAATTAGGTCGCAAAATGGGCATAATGTGAGCAAACTCGTGTTGTATTGTGGAAGACGTTTTACATCCCAAAACAAGGTAGCTTATGAATTATAGACAATCTCTGGGTGCTATCATACGACTGCTTTTTATTTACACCTCATGGAAGTTTTTGTTGAGATTATGAAAGCACCCTAAATTCCTTGTCCTGAGGAATACGGTACCAGCCATGGTCAAGGGAGGTTTGGGTTCATATATTAGAAATGACAAGGAAGAGAATTATGCATTTCAGGAGTATCGCGACTTATGCAATGCGCGAGTAAAGCAACATCGAGGATAGATGACTCAACCATGCTACAGAACCCCTCGACGAATGATGTAGTCGGATGACACACGACGGACGTTGCGAAGGGCAACAATCGCTGACCGTTGACCCTACTACCCAGCAGTTAGAAGTGCAAGGGCTGAATATCTGCTGAAACAGCAACGACACATAACCGTCCCGGAATTACAGCACGGGTGGTTACCCGAGTCGTGCTTATCGAGCCGTAAAGGGAATGAACCCCTATGAAGTGCGTACTTAGTTAGACTCTTCGTGTTCTCTTGGAAACCCTTATAATCCCTTCAATCTCCTTGCTAAAATCAATCACTTGTTCTCACAAACCAGTACAAGGGTTCAACTCAGACTTCTACTGTGTCATCAAGCACTCTACCTACAAAGGACTTAGCCTTTGCCAAAGATCCCTGGGCTGTTCTTAGCCCAAGATCATGCATGGGAAGGATCGAAATGATCCTTCCACACCTCGTGGACCTTTTTCGATGATCCAGAAGTACAAGACAACAACATGGCACCAACTCAGGACGTGGGATCCTCCTCTGGATCCCTCGGCATTGCAGCATCTGCGCCACCAGCCTCTTCTGCTTCGGCACAATCTCTCCCCCTTTGGGCATTGACCCGAGCCTCGTGGAGAAACTGTCTCCTTCATGTCGCTTTACAAGCACCCCTTGGCACCTGCTCAGTCAGCAACAACTAGTATGGGGTCAACACCGGCATGGCGCCCGTTCAACACCCATCTCAACAGTCGTCGCCAGGCTTCTTTAGCTTCCTACCGACTCGAGAACGCGATGCACCATCTGCACCAAGTAACAAACCACATGAAGTTCTACAAATACAAGCACAGTTTGCCAACATTCTGAAACTATAGACGTCGTTTCTCTTCAACAGAAAGGATTCTTATGCGTGGAGCTTCAAGTTTGAACTCGTAATAGAAGGCACCCAGATCCTGAACATCTTCACGGGTTCCTCGAAGTATCCGGCAAATGGCACTTCGAAAGAGAAACAGGTGTACACATATCAATCTCTGATGAAACCTTCTTTCAAACCTGTCACCAACGGAGCAGCGGAATATCAGGACATACAAAGGCTATGGCAACTCATCCAAGCTGGCTTACTGCCACCTCAAGAGTGTTTACCAAGCGTCAATGAGTGTGACACAGAGTCAACATATGGTGCAGTTGACAACAATTCAAAACCAACTAGGGGAAAAAACAATGGCATACATGAGACACTGCAAATTACTAGGCAACATAGTTATCTGAAGTGGACGGAACTTATTGGAGGATTCTTTTGTGACAATGGTACTCACTGGCCTCAGCCCACAATGGCGCACAACTCGCTCGCTCTTCAAGCCCACAAAAAGATTTCAGAGATGCACCTTTGTGCTGAACTTCACCCGGAGCAGCAGCACATAGACCTGTACGAAGAATGTGGTGCAAGAAAGCCGAATCAGCAGATTGCATTTTACACGCATGGACATCAACACAGTCACAGTAAAAAACGAGTTGTACCTCCATACTATCAACTGTCGAACGTCAGGGCATTCAAGAGTTCAGTGTCCCAAACAGCAGTTGCACCAGCCCTGACCGCTTCGTCCTTCCAGCAGTCAAGTTGCTTCGACCCAGCAGCTCCCGCCTACACCTTCGCCATGACCTGCACAAGGTACACGTAACGTCATCAGCTTTATGGCACGCACACACTCCTGTGTGACAGAGTCACCTCCAACTCACAACCTCGATGAAGTACCACCAACGCCAAACCAGAACCGACTTCAGCCAAATCCGACATATGCAGCGAGCGATCGCGCGCAAAAAACCGTCTAACGAGACACTTTGTTCCCCGACAGCTGCTGCGGGCAGCACATGTGCTCTTCGGTGCGCTTTGTCCAGCGCAAACAAACTCTGAGTTGCGAAGTGGTGATCACCGTCGCCAACAATCAGAACCTACGCACCAGAAAACAAGGAGTGCTTCAGCTACAGTCGCTAGAAACAAGTGTCTTTGCTTGAGATGTCACGGGCGCTGATGGTTGACAATCTTGGATACAACATTTTCAGTGTCAGTCAATTGACAACAAAGGGTATTCACTTGGAGTGCGACAGTGACAAACGGGAGTTCCAGCTGTACCACGGGAACGGCAATCCTGAAGTCCAGCGTCTTCGTCTTGGACTTTGTTCTCGATCGTGGCACAGCGGTCAGCGACGCTGTCATCTCGTTCACCACTTGGACGCACCTGCTAGATCTCGAACCAGGCTTTGACAGAGACGGCTTCTGGTACTCTCACACTATACCTGAAGCAGGAAAAAAATGGCGTTAGCTGTCACGAGAGAAGTCGACGCACAAGGGATCAGACGCAAGATACAATCCTGTTGGTGCATATTCGTTTGCACGCCATCCTGTCGTCTATTCGCATCACTTCGTTTGCATGTGTTTCGTGTGCTACGTTGTTTGTGTGGTTTGTTGGGTTTTGTATGTCTTTGCATGTTCATCTTGTGCTTGTGGAGATGTGGTTGGATTGTGCGTGATATCGAGCATATTCCAACGAGCCAAGAATGATTGGAATCGGAGCACATATGAAGAAGTTATGAAGAAACGCTTGATGGATTTGTTACAACTAATTGGGAGTCCTTGGCAGCTGCTAGACCAAAATCGGAGAGCCCTATAACGAGGAGGACCAGCATGTGTGGGACTTTTGTCCTCACCTTTCTGCTGCAGCATTTGGGGTTTGGATGCCAACCTGACACAATGTGAATTGTGTCTTGCCAGGCTGGTTGAACCTGAGGATGGGGAGTCAATACTTTGACTCTTGTCATGTTCTTGACCAAGGGCCTCCAGGGTCCTTCCCTTTTATCATTCCATTGCTTCCCCATCCTCCAACTGTGCTTCAATATTTCCATCATGTCTGTAAACTTGTAAGCTTCAATGGATGTGACTCTGAGGACTGTTAATTTCTCCTAAGACATATTACCCCCCAGTGCGCCAAATGCTATAGCTCGCTAGACTACAGAAATGAGTGATTCAACTTTCATTGGAAAGCTGACATTGCAAGCTACAAGGTAACGATTTTCTTGTCGTTTCACCAATTGGGTTTTCGGATATAGCTTTCCGAAGGTCACGAGTTTTCAAGGCGTCATAACGAAGTGCTGCATAAATTTCTAAGGAGCCGTTGAGTCATCTGGTAATAGCCTTCTCTCACCAACAGCTGGTATCAGAGCCAATAATCACGCATTTTTGGACCTAAACTACGATGGGAGATAAGGAGGACTCAGGTGATACTTCAGCCCAAGGTGGCAGCTCAACCCAAGATTCTGGCATTGCAGCGCAAAGGAAATCGCGTACAAGCTAGGGTTCACTGCTTAAGGAGGTGCTGAAAAACTTCACCGTTGAGAAGTTCTCTGGAGATGGCTATGATGAATGGGCATGGAAGATGCAGCTCTACTTTTGACAAATTGGCCTTTTGAAGCTCATGATTGGAACGAAGCCAAGGCCAAAGGAAATGGCAGAGCAAGTGGATTGGGATGAACGTTCATCTGCTGGGTACTGTCACAGGATCGAATGTGTCGAGGAAAGGTTTGCTCAATGTTGCCCTATCGATCAGTACAAGGCGCTTTTATACTTCCAAGGTACATCAGGTAACCATGTTTATCTAATCCCAAGGGAATAGACCCTTCTAGAAAATAGAATCACCCTGCGTATAGCCACGCGAGGCTATTGGCTTTAAGGGATTACGGCAGGATTACGCTAGATATAGCGTACCAGTACATCCCGAGCCTGGTCGGTGATATAATGATAATAATAGGATAAACCTGTTAGGATTAAGGACGGAGTCTAGGTGAACTTAGGAGCTAGAATTACTCAAAATATAAATCCGAAATTCTGGACAGAAAAGTCGTCTTCACAAGAAACGACGTCGACAAACATCTAACTGTTGGAATGTCGCGAAACTTGGATATGTTGTATCTCTTAATCTCAGCTACCGTTCCCAATTTGAATCACGTTGATTGATGAAGTATTCGCGACGCTATGGCTTTCGACGCATTATGGGGTAAGCTGTAGGAGGAGAACTTAACTCAATCTCAAAAGTTCAATTAAAGTTCAAGAAATCTCACAAGGAATTAGAGGAGCAAGAGAAAAGGTTTGGATGAAAGAGAGGGATGAGAGGGAAGGTCCCAAGAGAGTCCCCAACCAAGGAAACCCCATAAGCACAAAGATTCCCTCCCTATAGGAACCCCAACTTTGACATTTGTCCCTCCCCAACCAATCCATCCAAGTTGGCCACCCTTGCCAACCTAGCTTGGTTGTTCCCAACCAATTTGCAGCTGTTACAGTAGAGTGACAAATTTCCCCAACCCCAAAGGTCCCAACTCCATATAGAGTCACCCCACAACTTCACTTTGTAACCGCCGCAATTGTAACGCAAGCTCATGAACTTTGAATCTTCATAGCTTTCGCGTTCTTGCTCCGATTGAAGGGATTCTCGTTGCGTCGGAAAGATCTTCTCAAGATCTATCATCACAAATACCTGCTCAAACAAAAATAACACAAAATACATTCCCAAAATCCAGAACACATCACACACAAATTCTTGCACACGTTCAAACCACACATGCAGGTTGAAAACATGGGATGGGAGGCAGACAGAATGTGATAGCATATGATGACATCACACAACAAAACCAAAGGTTTATGGAAAACGAGAAATAGGAATCCAAATGGAATGAGATAAAACCCGAATGGATCAAGATAAAAAGAGGAATGGAATGGAAAGGGAAGATGGAAAGGAGAAAGGAATGGAACGGGGTCGTACTCTCACACTTCCCCCCCTCAAAGCTGGGTGGTAGACGTAACACCCTGCTTGACAAGGTAGTCGCGAAGAGGACGACGAGCGGAGTCCATCTTGGATTCAGAGACCCAGCTATCCTCTTAAGGATCGTAACCCTTCCAACGGATGAGAAGCTCCACGTTGCCATTCCGTCGACGGCGGTGAGCAAGCACGGACTCGACCTCGTACTCGGGTTCATCATGGACGAGGACGGGCGGCGGCGGCGGCGGTGGGCGGCCAGAGAAAACCGTGTTGGGATCTCGGTAGGGCTTCAAGAGTTGGACATGGAAGGCGTTGTGAATCTTCCAGTAGCTGGTAGGCGTAAGCGGAAGGTAACAGGAGTGACCTGTGCTTCAACGAGAAAAGGCCCGCAGAAGCGAGGTCGCTGTTTGGATAGGAGATGGCTGATGTCAAGATTGTGCGTGTCGAGTAGTACTCGATCTCCCACGGTGATGGTGTGGTCTGTGCGGTGACAATCGGCCTGGCGCTTCAGTTGTTGCTGAATGTCGAGAAGGCGTTTGTGGGTCCCATTCCAAAGTTTGTGCATAGTCGTGATGAAATCATGAGCGGGTTGGACTGTGGCTGGTATGTTTGGCTGTTGAGGTGTAAGTGGGTGGCGTCCGTAACAGAGGAAGAACGGCGTCTGTCCAGTAGCGGCGTTAGTAGCATTGTTGTAGGCAAACTCCAGGACCGGCAGATGCAAGTCCCATTTGGAGATGTCGTCCTTGCAGGCTGCGCGGAGGAGTTTCTCCACAATTTGGTTGAGGCGCTCGGTCTGCCCATCGGTCTGCGGATGGTAGGCGGATGACATGGCGAGTTTGATCCCGAGCAGAGACATCAGTTCTTTCCAAAATATACTGGTGAACTTAGGGTCTCGGTCGGAGACGAGTGTGGTTGGAATGCCATGTTATGAGATAATGTAGCGAACAAAGAGTTGTGCCGTCTCCTCGGTGCGTGCTGTCGTGTGTGTTAGGATGAAATGTCCCATTTTGGAGAACTTGTTAATGACGACGAGGATCGCGTCATGACCGCTTGTGGTAGTTGGTAGCCCGGTGATGAAATCTAGGCTGACCACTTGCCATGGCTGTTCTGGGACAGGAAGAGGCTGTAGCAGACCCGCCTTTTTCTGCTTGCTGCTCTTCATCCGCTGACATGTAGTGCACGAGGTGACAAATTTCTGTACGTCATCTGCCATGTGGGGCCAGTAGTAGTGTTTGGGGATACCGGTGAGCGTCTTGTTGCTACAGAAGTGTCCTGCGTACAGGATGTCGTGGTATTCTTCGAGTAGTAACTGGCGCAAAGGAGGGTAATTGGGTACCCAGATTTTTCTTGATCCTTTTCGGTACGCGATGTTGTTGTCCCATTGTAGCAGATGTTGTTTTTCTGCCAAGGGAATTTCGGGGTCGATGGTGTACCCGTGTGTGAAGTGTCTCTTGAGGAGTGGATTCAACCTGGATCGCGGCAACGTGTGCGGGCCGGCTTAGTGCATCGGCTTTGTTTTTATGGCCAGGCTTGTACACGATGCCGTAGTAGAAGTGCGTCTCGAGGAAGTCGATCCACCGAACCTGTCGCCCGGAGAGGCTTGGTTGCGTCTTCAAATATTTTAGGCTGCAATGGTCGGTGTAGACTGTCGTCTTGCATCCTTCGAGATAGCATCTCCACATTTTGAAGGCGATGATGATAGCAAGGGCCTCCTTGTCATGTATCGGGTTGTTGAGTTTTGCCCCATGTAGCTTCTTGATGAGATAGGCGATTCGTTGCAGTCCATTCCCCTGGTCTTGCATCAAGACTACTCCCACTGCCTGGTCGTTGGCGTCAGCTTCGATGACATAGTCGCATTCGGGGTCTGGCAAGATGAGTACTGGTGCAGACCTGAATGCTTGCTTCAGCTGCTCCACGGCTTTCTGGTGCTTTGGCTCCCATTTGTAGGGCATGCTCTTTTTCAGCAGATTCGTGAGTGGCACGGCGATCTTCGCGTATTGCAGCACGAACCTGTGTTAGTAGTTAGCGGAGCCAAGGAACTGCTGCAACTCCTTCACATTCTCGGGTGTCTTCCACGTACGCACGGCTTTGAGTTTCTTGGGGTTGACGTGAACTCCTTGAGAGCTTACGATATGTCCGAGAAATTGGACTTTCTCGAGGTCGAAGTCGCTCTTGGATAGTTTGACGTAGAAGCATTCTCGTCGAAAAATCTCGAAGACGCGTCGTAAGTGTTTGACGTGTTGTTGCATGTCGCACGACTAGACAAGGATGTCGTCCAGGTACACCACCACACATTCGTCCGAGAGTGGGCATAGGATGTGATTCATCTCTGCTTGGAGCGTTGCAGGTGCATTGGTGAGTCCGAACGGCATTACCGGATACTCGTACGAATCGTACCGAGTTCGGAAAGCAGTTTTGTGAACTGAATTGTCCGCCATTCGTATCTGCCAATATCCGGACCGCAGATCCAGTTTTGAAAATACCGTGGCTCCCCGAAGCTAGGCAAGCAGGTCATCGATTCGTGGAATCGGGTACTTGTTCTTGATGGTCTGCTTATTGAGAGCTCGGTAGTCGATGCACATGCGCAGGCTTCCGTCTGGTTTCGGTGTGAAGAGTACTGGGGCACTGTATGGTGAAGTGGATGGTCGGATGAGTCCTTTGGTGAGGAGATACTCGATCTGCTTTTTCATGTCGGCTAGCTCTGTGGGGCTGAGCCGATATGGTGCTCGGAAGGTCGGGTTCGAACCTGGTTCCTCCACCTGTGTTGCTATCGCCAGGAACCCCGTGTTGGTTCGCTTGATGCCCTTCTCGAATCTGGCGAGTGTCTCCACTGGGATATCTCCTGTATTGTCCCAGTTGGGTAGCTGGACTCTTCTTCCTTTGTTATAGATGCTTGTGGTGCGGTTTACCCAGTTGATCTCGGGGTTGAATCGTTTTAGGAAGTCTCGCCCGAAGATCAGGTCAAGCCCTTTTATGTTGGTGATGGGGAGAGCAGGTTTCCAGCGCAGTGGCCCGATTTGTAGATGTAACACTGCTTTGCCATATACTGGTAACTTGCTGCCGTCCACCATCGTTGCGGAAAACGCTGATGGCTTGTACTCTTCTCGAAGTCGGTCGATGGTTGCCTTGTCGCATACGGTGTGCGATGCTCCGCTGCCCACGAGTGCTTGGAGGCGTCGTCCTTTGCAGATCACCTCGAGCACGAGGGGCAGGCGTTGCTCGGAGTACCCAAAGATGCTTTCATTGATTGGGTCATAGGGTACATCCCAATATTCGTTGCTTCCTACTCCTGAGCTAGCAGCTGGCCGAGGCTGCTTGGAGAAAGGCTCTTCTCTAGAGCCCGGAGTTTCCGTGATGACTGTTTGTGTCGTTGACGAAGTTGCCAAGTTGGATGCATCCGAAGAAGGAGTTCGGGGTTTTTGCAGCTTCTTGTAGACCCCCACATTCCTTTTGAGCTGCTTCAGCTCCATTGACGTATTCCCTGGGGAACGGGTAGTCGCTGTGGGCTGGTGTCGGGAGAGGACGTTGACTCCGTGGAAAGGTCGGCTTCTTTCCACAATCCTTAATTTGGTCCCCAAGTTCTCCGGTACCGGTATGATCTCCACAAGTTTCTGCTTCTTCTGGAGTCCCTCCCGTAATTTCTCCAAGGCTCTAGCCCCTCAAGAATTACAAGTTTTCATTAAAGCATCTTTATAAGATAACTTTTAACGAATCCTTATAATTCTTGGGGCTTCAAGGAGCTTCCCTGTCTCGGCATAGTCCTTTTTCGCGGAGTTGGATTTCTTCTCGACGAATTCCTCTGGCAAAGACTTGTCGTGGGGTGGAGATTTTTCCCCATGATTTTCTCCTGTTCGCGTCGAATCAGCTGCGTTGAAGTTGATTTTTCCGGAATCCCGCGACCATTTTCGGATCTTTACTTTATCGCCAGCTAGATCGCAATTACTGGCGAGTCCCGATTTTTGGCTTCTGATTCGCCGAAGGATTTCCGCCACTGTTGCGTGCCCGATACTCAGCGCGTGCGGCTTTCATTTTGTTGCAGTCGAAGCTTCGATGACCCGGCACCCCACAAAAATTACACGTGAAGTTGGTGTTTTTCGAACGTGGCCGCCCTTCGAATCTGTCGACTTCCATCAGGTCGGCGAACGTGGTGTGAGCCGAGCGGTCGCCCTGTCGCGTACTGCCGACGTGCGTCCGTCGTGTTCCGGCGTTGACCATGTCGAAGCGCTCCGCGGCCGATACGACGTCACTGTAGCTCACGTAGTTTGACGCTGCCACCTATCGTTGGACTTCGGTCTTCAGCTCGGCGAAGTACGACTGTACCTCCCCGTTCAGATCGGGAATATGGTTATAAAATTCTTCCATCTGCTTCGTGTAATGCGCTACACTCCCGAACTGTCGATGTCGATGAATTTTCTTCCCGGGCAAGGAAACCCGAATTTATCGGCTCAAAACGTTTCAGCAGGTCGGTGCGGAACTGCTGCCACGTGGCTTCACCGTGGTGAACGTGCTGTTACTGCCGATCCACTCAAGTGCCAGTCCTCGCATCAGTGTCGCCGCGAGTCGTACACGTTGACCGTCCCAGAATGGCGAGCTCCATCCGACGGCTGCAAAGTACGCCCTTGCGCACGAAGGTGATTGGGGTGGGCGTAGGGTCGAGGGGGGGAACAGGTGGTGCGGAAGCAATAATGTGGTGGCGAGCAATGTTTACCGGAGCCTCACCATCTTCATTGTCGGAGTCGTCGCTGTCTTCGATGTCGATGGCGGGCGTCGGGAGCATCTCTAGAGGCTGGTCGTCGATGCGCGGGGCCTTTGGGGCGCGAGGAGGCATTGCCATTTCTTTTTTCTTGGCCAAGTTAGCCGTAGCAGCGTTGATATTGTCAGAAGAAGTGGCGAGCGTAACAGGCCCCTGCTGCTGTAACAGCGCGAAAAGCGCCTGGAGCTGCTGCGCAGTCAAAGCGAGGGTGGCAGCGGGTGGGGCGAGCTCCTCGGCAGGCACGTGCCGAACGGTGGGGCACGCCTGGGCGGCGAGCGGCACGGCGTGGCTCGGCGTGTGGACCTCGGTTGACTGCACGCGCGGCTGCTTGGCAGTCGCGCGTGTTTCTTCTGGGGTGGCGTGAGTTGCGCCGAGCAGAACATCTACACCCGAGGTCCCCTCACCAAAATTGTCCTCAGCAGGGCGTTTTTGGCGACGGTCGGTTACCGGGTCCGAAGTTCCAAGATCACCGATATTTGCGGGGGTGTTCGCCTCGCGAGTTGGTGCAGAATTGGCGGGAGTCATTGACGATAGGTTATGCTGCAAAATGTCGGTTAGTAATGTCGATGGTGCCCTGAAGCGTGGAAGTGACTGAGTTTTCGCCAGGTTGGACGAGAACAAAAAACAAGAACTAGCTGTTAAAGTAAGAACTGAATGGTTGAATAGAAGTTGAAACCTAGAACAAATACTAGTTGGTTGTACTCACTAGAAGCATACCTCAGTCTAGCCTATAACTTCTACATAGCTAATATGTATAAGTTGACACACCCCCTAGGCTAGACAAGGGGTGAAGCTAAGCAAGAAGCAAATAGCTCAGGGTGGCACTACTAGTCCAACCACTGAGGCAGGGGTCTGGAGACCAGTCAGCAAGAATACAAACAAAACTAAAGCAAGCCAGGGCGGCACTACTAGTCCAGCCACTGGAGGTAAGGCCACAAGGCCAGTCTGACAGGCATATATAATAAAGAGGACACAATCAAGATCCTAGCAGGTGAGTAGCTACAGGAACAAGACCAAGCTGTACACAGTGCCGCTGATTATCTTTAAGCGCAAGCGCCTTAGTAAAGATATCAGCTGCGTTGGCACCTGAGGCCAAGTGAACTACGCGGGCCTGGTGGCGCTGCTGTAGCTCGCGCAGGAGGAAGTACCGCAGCTGGATATGCTTCGCTCTGCCCTCAAGCCAAGGCTCCTGACACAGGAGTATCATGGCCCAGTTGTCAGCGTACAGGACCGGGGCAGAGCTAGGCCGCTCACCTAAGTCTGTGAGCAAGAAGATCAGCCAGCGGAGCTCCTGTGCCGCCATGGCACCAGCGTAGATCTCAGCCTCACGGCTGGACTGAGCCACAGACGACGAGCGAGTGGATCTCCAAGAGATAGCACCCGAACCAAGGCTAAAACAGTAGCCATGCGACGACCTGAGCGTCTCAGAGTCGTCTGCCCAAGAACCGTCTGTGTGCCCAGTAAGGACCACTGGCCTGCGTCCTCCTAGCACTAACCCCATGCGCGATGTACTAGCAAGATAACGTAAAACCCTCTTAGCGGCAGACCAGTGCTGAGGTCGGTGTCTGCCTGTAGCCACAAAGCGAGCCAGGATGCTGAGAGGGTATGCGAGATCTGGGCGAGTGCAAGTCATCAGCTATATGAGGCAACCCACCAGCTCTGCGTAGGGGCCACTGGGCTCTACTGACTCCTCAGGAACGGGAGCGGAGAGCCCAAGGTCTACAGGAAGACGTGTGGGCTGTGCGGAGGAGAACTGAAGACCAAACCTCTGAAGGACCTGACGCACCAAGTGTGACTGTGTCAGAGTGATGGTGCGTGCTGCTCTGTCCCTAGAGATCTGCAAGCCAAGATGGCGACGCAGCTCTCCAAGGTCAGTGCAGGTGTGTCTCTTCAGCAGCTCAGCCTTCACAGAGGCCAGTGCGTCCCTGTCAGGAGTAGCGAAGACCAGGTCATCTACGTAGACAAGGATGTAGAACGGAGTCTGGCCGGAATGCACAAACAGTAAAGGGTCAGCAGAGGACGGAAAGAACTGCAGGTCTGCTAACGTGGCACGTAGCGTTTCGTGCCACTCGCGGGGAGCCTGACGCAGGCCGTGGACCGGGCGCCTGAGAAGCCACTGGGTCCTAGGGGGGAAGGTACCAGTGAAGCCCTGTGGTCGGCGCAGGTAGACCTGCTCGTGTAGGCTTCCCTGAAGAAAGGCAGTAGAGAAGTCGAGGGAGTGAACCTCGTAGTCACGCTGTGCTGCTACGTGTAGCAGCGCCCGAAGAGTGGTCATCTTCGGGGTCGGGGCGAAGGTCTGGAAGAAGTCAACCCCCTCACGCTGACTGAAACCTCTGGCCACGTAGCGCACCTTGAAGAAAGGCGGCTCTCCAGGGGGGCGCTTCACCTTGAAGAGCCACCGACCATCGACTACGTTCACCCCAGGCGGGGGAACTGCGTCGACGTAAGTGCCGGTGGACCTCCAAGATGCCATCTCCTGCTCCATGGAAGCTATCCACTGAGAGGCCCAAGGTCCCGAGGTGGCCTCAGCGTAGGTGCGAGGGGTCGGGATGTCGAAGGCGTCTGGGTCACCCTTAGGGACTAACAGCAGGGAGCAGAGATGGGGAGCAGCCTCGGAAAGGAAAGCA